ATAATGTATTAAAATATTTATAACTCAGAATTTAATTAATATAATCAATTATATATTTAATTAGATTTAATTTTCCTTTTCTTTGTGGATCTGTGAAAATTCCTTTTCGGAACCTTTGAAGTGAAATTTCTTTCCAAAGGCTGTCTTTTTTATATTTCTGTAGCATTTCTCGCGTGAAATTGCACTCTTCTTGGAAAATATTCCAAGGTATAGAAAATGTTTCACTCCTTGAGACGATGATAAAACCATTCTGTTATCGATGTTGATTTTCGATTTTACTATCTCCCTGTTAATTTGATCTTTGTTTTTGAAGAGCGATCCTGAAATTTAGATATTACGAGTGTGATTAAGTGGTGATAGTAAATACACAGGGATAAGTCAAGAGTGCTTGAGAACTTATTTATAATAATATTTAATAGGATATTTAATAGGAATATTTAATGTTTATAATAATATTAAATATTAAACGTTAAATTTTCGGATTTCAATTGATTGGAATTCCTTTGCAAATAATTCGAAAACGTGAATTCTCATGTAAGAAGGAAATTCGAATAGCATTTCAGCACACTCTCGGTCACGTTATGCCTCAGACTTCACCGGAAGTGCAGGCTGAGGCGGCCAGAGGCGTCGCTGAGAGACTGTTGGGGCAAAAGCATGCCGGGAAATTCACGATGACCGTGATTCCCAAACTCGGTCCCACAGGAAAAGATACGTTTCTGGTAATTTCTCTTTATACTATTTTCTCTTCTATTCGATCATTTCTATTATATATTAATTAACAGTTATTAGAGGCAGGAAGTGTGCTTCCGGTTTGCGTCGTAAAACATGATAGACTTCATTTCCCTATATTCTCGACCTTGCACTTGTCACACAGTGCGATCTCTGCGTTGTCATAATTACAACCGAAATTCCATAGAAAATTCTAGCTTTTAATTTTCAATATCAGATCAAGAAGAACGTGCTCGGTCAAGTGGAGATCTTAGGCAGTTCCGGCGTGGCTCTAGCCTGGGGTCTGCACTACTACTTGAAGAACTATTGCAACGTTCACATCTCGTGGGAGGGAAATCAGATAGAACTTCCGCCAACTTTGCCAGACGTTCGAGTGAAAGTCACGTCCAACGACAGGTATAGAATTTAAAAAAAAAAAAAAAAGAAATGGAAATAAAAGAACGAAGGAAAAATACGACGAGATCGCATAATTCTGTACGTTCTAACATAACTTTTATATTAATCCTTTGAGTGTTTAGCTCGTTATCACATTTTACCATAGATAATCTTGTAAGAATAAAATTCCAAATATTCGAATACTTAATAGTAAATGTTATATTATTATCTTAACAGTAAATGTTATATTATATTATATAATGTAATATTATATAATGTATATTACATTATATAATGTTATATTACTTAATAGTAAATGTTATATTATTATCTTAACAGTAAATGTTATATTACATTATATAATAATTATGTTATTATATCAATATATGTAATGATATTTAATGTTATATTCGTCAGAACAGAATGTCTGCTAGTAACTAGATCATCTGCTCCCAGCACATGAAGGAGGTTCTTGCTGTAGTTATTTTTCTTACTAGAGATTCAAACAGGCTCAGTATATTGAATAAATATATCAAATACGTTGAGTAGAATGTGTGTTTGATGCTAGAGCTACCGGCGAATAAAATATAAAATTTGTAGTAGGGAAATGGAAGTGCAAGAAACAGGAGAGAAATGCATTTGTATATTTTACTAAAAGTCATTCAAGTGTCTAAAAACACGCTTTTTTATAAATGCATAAAATTTCAACTTCCACTTTAAGCATCCAAACGGGATGAAATTCTATATATTACTCTGTGTTACTAGTTGTCAAAATCTAAAAATTGACAAAGCTGTTGCAATGATCTTCTGCTAACAACCTTGTACTAGTACCTTGATCTTTAGACTTTTGATAATTTTGAAAAAATCCTGATGCTATTCTGTTACCTCTAGAATCTAAAAGTTGATGAAAACAGAGTTGTCAATCGTTGTTCCACAGATTTAGGTATTATCAGAACGTGTGCACCCTTGGTTACACCTCCGCATGGTGGCAATGGGATCACTGGGAAAGAAACATCGACTGGATGGCCCTTAATGGGATCAATTTGGCTCTTGCTTTTAACGGGCAAGAGGCTATCTGGCAGAGAGTGTACCTCCAATTGAATTTCACTTCAGACGAGATTAATGAACACTTTGGCGGCCCAGCGTTTTTACCTTGGTAACATTTCGTCACGTCCTTCGCTACAACAGTCGTGATATACAATTTTTACGTACATAACGTGTAAAATGAATATTTTATTAAATTACCATCGACACTCACGTGAAATCTACATCTCTACGAACTAGGAGAAACAAATTCAAACTAAATATTCGAATTCGATGATTTTTGAAATAATGTCATTCGTTGTGCGACAGGTGGTTTTCATAAGTTTATTAACATTTAACTAAATGTAAATCTAGATTTACTCACTAAAACGAAATGTTCAAGTCTGGTTCAAATTCACGATTTCTAGAACAATTCTGTCAGGAGGGTAATTGTACAACGAAATTTCCATCTAATTTTGTTAATCGTTAAGTCTGGACACTTACTGTGGCTCTCATAAGCTCGTGTCTTTATTAACACAACTAAACCAAATATTCGAAATGCACGATTTTTAAAGTAACTCCATCGCAGTATGATTCATTGTACAGTGGAATATTTTCGTCCAACTTGCTCGTTAGGTCTCGAATGGGCAACATTCGTGGTTTCGGTGGCCCTCTAACGCCGACGTGGCACGAAAAATCGCTTCGTTTGCAACACAGAATCATTCGGAGGATGAGGGCGTTGGGAATCATTCCCGTTCTTCCTGCTTTCGCTGGTCACGTGCCCAGAGCTTTCCCCAGATTGTTCCCGAACGCCAACGTGACGAAGAGCACAGCTTGGAACCAGTTTTCAGATAAATATTGCTGGTGAGAAACGAGTAAAATAAAATCGGTGAATGACAAATAATCATCGGCATTATTTTCTTTTTTTATATCAGACGAATTTTACGCATCTTTTCTGCAAGACGGAATATTTGAATTTTTAGGAGATACATCATGCTCAACGGAAGTGCATTTTATGGTATTATTGTTATTCTATCGTTGCTCATTAAAATTAATTAATTTCATCCTTTTGAATATACGAAATTATTAATTATTTATTAATTAATATATAATTATTGAATTGATTAATTTCATCCTTTTGAATATACGAAACTCCGATAATAAGAAAGTCAAGATACGAGCGAACTTACTAATTTTCACGGACTTGGATACAGATAATAATTAATTAATCGATGATAAGATTCGCTGATATATTCTTCATTGATTTGATCTTGTTTACTCTAATCCTTGCCACTCGTTATCAATTGGAGATAACTGATTATTATTATCCTAATCGCACGAATAGACGAGTTTCGTGCTTCTTGCAATTTCGATTTCGTTTGTGATAAAGCGTTCGCCTTATCACGTTTTCAGCCCGTATCTTTTGGAACCGACGGACCCGCTGTTTCAAAGAATTGGAGAACAATTTTTGAAAACGGTATGCGAAAAATCAGAAGGATCTCTGTCGAGCGAATGATAGTTTCTTCTAAAACTGGCTTCTTTCAGTACGTCGAGGAATTTGGCACCGATCACGTTTACAACTGCGACACTTTCAACGAGAACGAACCGTACACCAGCGAGCTGAGATTTTTGAGAAATGTAGGCCACTCGATCTTCCAGGCAATGATCAACGTTGATCCACAGGCGATATGGTATCGTGATGTATTACATCAATTTAGCAGTCAACTCGTTTCAGCAATTTTCAATAAATTGATAAATAATTTACGCGAAGGGGAACTAAAAATTCGGAATTATTTTCTTCGTTTTATCAATATCGTTTTATTATCGAAATTGCAAAATTAACAGATTCCGCAGTTAGTAACAATAATAATGATTTTCTTTGGCTCGATAAATTTTTGACGAGAGAATCTTGAAAATCTACGTAACGAGTTTCAATTTTTGGTCAGCAGTATAATCTCTGATGTAACAGTTTGCAATTTGGGAAACGCAAAAAACAATTCTAATTCATATGTTTCACTATTTCACTTTTCTGATGCACGAAACTTTTTCAAGGTTAATGCAAGGATGGTTGTTCGTCCACGATGCTACTTTCTGGACAGAGCCGAGAGTCGAGGCTTTCTTAACCTCAGTCCCATTGGTGAATATATTTAATTCTTTTTTTTTTTTTTTTTTT